TCATTGCCAACAATTTAGTTTTCTCTTTCCAGACTTTATGTGTATGCATATTTCAATAGTCATTTTTAAATTTTCAGTTAAATGGACTAAGAGGGTACATATTGTGTGCTCTATAAAGGCCAGGATCATACCTATCTTATTTTCACTCTTGTATTCTCAAAATCTAGCAGTGTCTGGCATGAGAAATATTTGTTGAATGGGAACATGGCCTATACCTTGCTTTTGTTTTCAACACATTGCAAATACCCTCCCTCTTTGTAATGGCTGTAAAGTGTTCTGCTCTTTGAGGCAAAGCTCTATTGACGGGCATTTGTTGCAGATTCGTTACAGTTGCAAGACAATTATTAGATCCTTGTGTGCTTGGATATATTTATATAGGATAAATTCCTAGAAAAGGAATTTCTGGTTCAAAATATGAACATCTCAAAATTTTATAAACATAATAGATTTTGCTAAATGACCACCCATAGGGTTGTACTAATTTGCTTTCTCACAACATGCTGTTTCCACCATATGCTTAACAATCCTTGATATTATCAATCTTTTTCATCTTTGACAATCTGGTAATCTAAAAATTATTCGCTTGTTTTGCATCTCTTTTATTAATGATTTCGCATTTTCTCTTATTTTTATTGACTACATTTTTTTCTGTGAATTACATTTATGTCCTTATTTTTTTTACTAAATCATATTTTTAATTAGAGAAGCTTCTTATACATTTAAGGTGAAAACTCTTTGTAGTATGTGCCAAAAATATTTCTCCCAGTCTCTTTTGTTTAGGGTATCTTTTGCTATATGGTTTTAAATTTTATGTAGTCCATTCTGTCCATTTTTCCCCCTTTGTGATTTGTAGCCTCAGTGCTGAGAAATACTCTCCACCATAAGATTATTAAATTATTTTAATATTGCCCTAGTTATTTTATGGCTTTATTTTTTGCATCTGAATTTTTAATATGTCTAGATTTTGATTTATACTGAAAGTAAGGAAAGGACCTAGCTTTACTTTTTTTCCTCCCAAATATAATCAAATAAACCATCAAACAGTCCATTTATTGAGGAGCTGGTCCTTTCTCCCATTGATTTAAAATGCTAATTTTATTATATACCAGATTCTCATCTATGCATGGGCCTGTTCTGGAACTTTCTATCTACATCCATTATCATAGATTTATGGTATACTTTGGTATCTAACAGGGTAAACATAGAAACATTTTAGATACACTTTATTCTCTGAAAGTAGCATTGTTAGCAAACCCATCTAGAGATTAGATAACTTAAAAAAACAGGACACAAGTTCATTTATCACATTAAAAATTTTAAATATTGATATGCTGGGTATTCTTTCATAGTGTTAAATAGGTATTTAATATGGAGAATCATCTTTTCATTCATGATATTATAGAACAAAAAATTTTTGAGTGTAATAATGATTCTATATTAATTGCCTATAAACATTTTCAATAAATATGTACATTTTTGTAATTCTTTCCTTTTAGCTTGTTTGTTTTGATGTTATTTACTGAAATGTAATTTAAAAAAAATATATATATATATCTTTATTGATTTCAGAAAGAGGGAGAGGGAGAGATAGAAATAGAAACATCAATGGTGAGACACCACTGGGGATTGAGTCTACAACCCAGGCATGTGCCCTGACCGGGAATTGAACCGCAAGCTCCTGGATCCTAAGTCGATGCTCAACCACTGAGCCATGCTGGCCAGGCTGAAATGTAATTTTGTATCTGTTGACTCAAATAACAACAATTTTGGGTTTGTAATTTGAATGTCTGTTTTATCACATTTTTAAAATAATTCATTTTTGTTGTGGTTTACAGAAGTATTGATCTGTGATGGATTAGAAATCTTTTTAAATATAGTTCTTCACTTCAGATAGTTTGAGAGGCAAACTAGTTCTAGAGAACCAATCAATTTCAATTTCTAATTCTTTGCTGCTTGTATAGAGAAACATGACTGATTTTGGTGTGTTGATCTTGAAGCCTATGACTTAGCTAAATTCACTAATTAGCTCTAGTCTCCTTTTTGTAGCTTCCTTAGTATTTTCTACACTGACAATCATATCATCTGAAAATAAAGAACTTTCTTTCTTTCCAATCTGTATGACTTCTTTTTCTTGTCTTTTTGCAGTGGCTAGGACCTCCAGTACAATGTTGAATAAAAGTGGTAAGAGTGGGTGGACATCCTTGCCTTGTTTCCAATCTTAGTGGAGAAAGCATACAGCCTTTTATCATTTTAAGTATGGCTTTAGCTGAGAATTTACACAGATGTCCCCTTTTCAGGTTAGAGAAATTCCTTTTTATTCTTTTCCTAGTTTGTTGAGTTGCATGTGTTTTTTTAAATAAAAAATGGGTGTTAGATTTTTAAAAAAACTTTCCTGTATCTATTGACATGATCATGTCTTCTTGTTTTAGTCTGTTAATATGATGAACTGAATGGTATTTGTATGTTAACCTTATTATTGGGATAAACTCCACTTGGTCATATGTTTTATACCTTTTATATAAATTACTGGATTCAATTTGCTAAAATATTGTTGAGGATTTTTCCATGTATATCCATAACAGACATTTGTCCATTTCACCCAAGTGTCTGTCCTGACCGGGAATCGAACCGTCAACCTTTCAGTGCGTCGGTGGGTGCCCAACCAACCGGGCCACACGGGCCAGGGCCTCCCTTTTTATTTAGTAATGGAGGATCTATAGTGATGTCTCCTCCCATTCCTGACACTCATCATTTGTGCCTCCTCTCTGCTTCCCTTATCATTCTGGCCAGAGCTTTACCAAGCGTATTGATTTTCTCAAAGAACCAGATTTTTGTTTTATTGATTTTCTATTTGATGTTTGCTCTTCTCTGCAGTGCTCCCTTTCTTCTGCTTATTTTAGCTTTAGCTGGCTCCTCTTTTTCAGTTTCTTAAGAAGCTTAAGTCATTGATGTTAAACATATTTACTTATCTAATAAGCATTGAATGCTCAAAATTTCCCACTCTAGTCCCTCCTTAGGAACTTTGCTTTGGCAACTCTCCCCCCTCTCCTGCATCATCAGTTTCCCCTCTCCACTGAACTGCTCCCATCTCCACGCAGACATGCTGTTACAGCCCACGGCACAGGAGGGAGGGAGGGAGAAAGACCGCCACGTCTTCAGGCTCTCACAGCTTCCTGCTCTAATTATATGACCGTCTGTACTCCAGAGGCCGCGTCCCAGTCCCTGCAGGCCACTTCCGTTAGGTATTCTCCCCACCGACACTGCTCTCCTCGGGCACCCGCAAGGCCGTCTTTCCACCAGCAGCCGTCAGTGCCTACTCGTCACCTCGCTCATTCTCCAGCAGCACTCAACACTCTCCCCTGGCTCTCAGGCCGCACCTGCCTGGTCTCCCTTCCTTCCTCAGTGACAAGGGCCCTCCCCTTCCCAACCTCTCAATTGGAGTGCCCCAGGGTTGTCTTCAGTCCCCACCTTTTCCTCTTGATCTAGATCCATTACCCAGTGCCCTTCATCCACTCCTAAAATTTTAAGTATCTTTTTTTTTTTTTTAAAAATTGATTTTAGAGAGAAAGGAAGGTGGGGGAGAGAGAGGGAGAGGGAGGGGGGAGAGGGAGAGAGACATGGATTTGTTGTTCCCTTTATTTACCCATTCACTGGCTGATTCTTATATGCACCCTGACCGGGGATGGAGCCTGAAACCTTTGCATGTGGAGATGACACTCGAACCAACTGAGCAACCCAGCCAGGGCCTTAAGTATCATCTTATGTATTGGAACTATTCTATATTATTTCAAAATCTGTAGTGCATTTTGTAGTTGCCTTAAAGTAATACTCATGTGTTTTAATCTGGGCAGTGAGATTAAATGTTCCATGAGGACGAAGATCTCCGCCACCTTATTTTCTTGTCCATCCTTCTAAAGTGTGTCACAGAGGTTTGTGCATGGTAAGCCTCATAAAAAATGCAAACTCCATGTCTGATTGTGCTCAAGCACTGAAAACATACCGTTTTACTACTGGTGGAAGCAGCAGGGCTTACATCATCCACACTGAAACAAGTACCGCCTAAAGTTACTGAGCCTTGGAGCTAGGACCTGCTCAGGGTTTGTAGTCTATTATGGTCACCTTAGAGTGTGTCAAACCCCCAATTCTTTACTGAGACTGAGACCATATTCCAGTTGAGTAGTGCCTTCCATTCAGCATTTTCAATGTGGTGAAAGTAAAACAGATACTTCTTTCCGTTGGAGGTTTCTCATGTGTTGAGGCTGATCACAGGGAAATCCCTGTTCCAACTAAACACCAAAGGAATAACAAACTAGAGCCGCAATTTCAGTGTGGAAGTGCTAACAAAATTATACACGAACCTGGGCTGACACCTGAGGAATGCACACCTCTCCCTCTGGCTTACAAGTTAGGAGCAAAGAGCCCTTGGTCCCTGAGGATAGTTCATCTAATAACACAGTCAACATAAACCTGGAGCAGACTCATTTCAAACCAGAGTGAACAGGCATCTCATGGTTCTGAGTTTCAGGCCACAACAATCTCTATGTGGCCTTTCTGATGGCAAAGGCCAAGCTCAACCTCTTAGCTGCACTGTCTCCTCACCAAGAAGAAAAAGGACTCCATAGGCTACTCAGGGTCATTGGGAAGAAACTAAACTGTACTTTCCTTATCAATCAACTCCCATCTATAGCCACAAGTATATGGTATTTTACAAATTCACTGTTTTACAATTAGATTTTTCAAGGTGAGGTTCCAGGATCTTTGAGGATTCTCCTCTGCTTGGTTTAAGACATCTCAGGGAACTTCTGTGCACCAGACTGTTTCTGAACACGCAGAAATGAAATCGGCCTTATGATTATAGATCAGATAACAAAGATTTATCTTTGAAAGAAGACAGAGCTGACCCGTCATAAACAACAGAATGTACAGCCAAGTTTTAAAAACTGCAATAACAGATACTGAAGGATACATTATGCCAAAAAAGAGAAACCCTGGAAAATGAGTAGTGCCAAACAATCTTTATTGTTCACTGAAAAATACAGGTCTGAAAAGAGTCTATTGCATTGTGTATCGACTGCAAGGTCCCATATTGCAAGTATATATGACAAGAGTATAACACAGTAAATGAAACATATTGTACATAGAGATAATGCCCACCTCTCTAAACACTAAAATTTACTAGTGAAGTAAAAAGCCTTTTATAAAATGAGAAATGTAAACATTGCAATCATAAACAAAGTGCTCTAAGCAAAGCACTTAAGATTGTTTTGTTGTGACATCTACTCTGTCTACCTAGAGTTAGGAATGGTGGGACCAGGAAAACTTAGCCAACAAAAAGCTAGCATTTTCAAGTACTTAAGAGCGCTATCAACTCTATTCATAACACCTAGCATCTTTTAGTGAATCTGACACTCTCAGCAAACACTGAAATGTGCTTGAGAATAAAGATATTAACAATGGGGACAAAAGCCGTTTTCTGTGCAGTGTGCAGATATCACCATTTATTCTTTTCAGCCATGTTTTCATTAAGATGCATGAAAAGAGGCTATCCTGCCAGTTAGGCACGCCAGGATCGAGGTAACAATACTTCTCCAGTTAATACTACTAATTCAAATGAATTAAAAATAAATGCAAATGTATTAGAGAGCAACAAAATCAAACTCTACTATCCACATAGCAACATATTCAAGAGCTGCAACACTATTCACATTCCAAGGTCAACTTGACTATGCCTACATTTCCCTCCAAACTGAGAAAGCTCTGTGTGGAGAACATACATCACCACCCCCTCTCCAGATACTATCAGGGTCCAGAAAGCTCGTTATAGATAACAAATTTTTAAAAACTGCATCTCGATATATATATACAGCAACAGAGGAAGACTATGCGCTCCCTCTGGGCTTCCTTGGCATCAGGCAAAGAGAGGCTATGAGGCTATTTGCAGCAACAGTGCCTAAGCTAACTATGGCAATGCTCACATTCTATGAGAAATTGGGATTACAAAGTTCCTTCATTCATAGGTAGTCAAGGATTATTAAATAACTTCCTGAACTAAGACAACAGTCTTGCCATCAAAGAAAATTTTCTTTTTGCCTGAGAAGCTTTTATAAGTGAGATTTTATAATATCTCAGCTTCTTTACTTAATATTAAACTATCAATGCAAAGAGGACATCCTCAGAGCTCAAGTATGAGTAATATTAATATTCTTGGATTTTTCTACACTTTACAGGTCAGCAAATATTTTATCAGACTATCCATTTAAGAGATTTATAAGTCAATAGTAATAACCAATTGTGTATTTTTCTTATTCTGTTCATCAAAAATGCCATGTTCCAACAGGAATAAAGCCCAGTTCAATGGGCATCCTGTTCCCCTCAGCTCTGCACAGTAAATTTCACTGTTTAGTCTCCATGTTCTTGGCATTTCCTATGACTCTTCTGATCTAAGGAAAATCTTCTATAAAGGTGGAAAAATGAAAACTCCAGCATAAGCATTGATATTAGTACTGAAGTAGACTTTAGGGGAACAACTGTAATTGCTTATGAGACTATTTATAGCCTTGCTAGAAACACAACTGCTCTTGAATCCCTAGATTGAGAAATTCTAGTAATTTAAATAGAGGAGGGAGTCCACTGAGAAAGGTCTAGTTCAAGGGTAAGGTTCTGGTCCTTGGAATGATCAGTGTCTAGCCCAAAACACCAGCCACGTTTCCATGTGCCATTATAGTTTGTCCAATTCTTCCATGTCATGTCACTGGTGAGCCCTGCCATTGCTGCTCCTGGTTCACCGGGACATTCTGCTGCACATATGGGACTCACTGAGGTTATCACTTTAGCGTGTAGGAATTTTCCATTTCACACCATCAGTTTTCTCAAAGCCACCAACTAGGAATGATTTCTAGTGAGTAAAGGCACAATTCACGCGCATTTCTTCTTTATAAAGAAAATCAAAAGGGTTGTTTAAAAGCTGAACAAACACCTTGGATATTCCTATAAAAGGAATGATGTATCTGCTACCAAAACTCAGAGATGTTTACCAGATCTACAGACTAGATAGATTACGTAAAAGCATGGATTTGGCAGTTGAAAACATATTTCCGATTTTACACTACACCATTCCGGGGGAAGTGCTGGTTAGTGCCACAGGAGCAAATTAAGTGTCCACACCACCCTTTTGGTTTGTTTTCCTCATACACTTCCCCCAGCTCCAGTGAAGCCTGTCGCAAGGCCCGTCACTCAGCAGCCTGCCGTGCTGCTCAGAGGTGGAACAATGGGATTCACTGCAACTGGCCCAGCAACCAGCAGTCAGCTGTCCAGCAGAGCCCATAAAAAGCCTTAAACTCAGGAAAGACTTAATAGAATTGCATAAACATTCTTGGTTTTATAATAATTTGCAAGGAAGTCAGAAAATAATTGGTTTTTAGTTAAAGAAACTGAATCTATGCTCAAAAACAATGTAATGCCTCAGGAAGCAAAATCTAGAATGGAAAAAATGGACAAATACAGCTTGCTAGTCAATAGCTTGCTTTGGCTAAATTATCAAGGTAAGTCAGTGCAGTTTATTATTGCATTTGGAAGCACAGCTTACCATGTTCTCAAAATACAGGGTGCTCGTGAAGTCATGAAAACAGCGCACAGCCTTTTGTGACCTCAGAACTGGAAAAGAGGTCACAGGATTTGACATTTCAGCACAGGTGAGTCAGGAGACAGCTGAACATCTGGTCCTTACTCACTGATGGTGGTCTCAGCAAGTTCCTATTTGGACACTGATAGTTCTCAACCTGCTGCACATCAGAGTCATCTAGGAAGCTTTTAAAAATGCCCAAATGCCCAGACCAATTAAACCTGGAGGGGGAAGCCCAGAAACCAGGATTTTCTGTGTCCCCGCCAGGTGATTCTCATGTGCAGCCAGGATGCGCTCCCTTCTGGAGAGCTATTGTGTAAAAGCCACATCATATCTAGTTTTGTTTCTTACTGAATTCCACCAGGAAGAGGAATTTTTAGAAAAAGGCACCATTGTGCTTCCTCTAAAGACGCAGCTTACTGTTCAAGAGTGCTGGTTCTCGGGGGTTATCTGGAGCGCTGGTTGAAAAGGAGGAAGTCCTTGTCTTGGCAGAGCAGGCACAGCTTCAGGCTTCGGCGGCTGCCTCCGGCAACAAAGAATGCCCAGATGCCCATGAGCACCATGACCGTACTTGCTGACACCAGACTTATTCCATAATGAGGACTAATGAAGGTCTGCAAAGGAAAAACAAATCGGCTTGGGTAATAACAGCTAGCTTATTAAACATGTGGAGTAACCAAAGATAAAGGGAACTATGAAATACTTTTAATGGCTGGGCATGTTTCACCAGATTCCATGTGTGTCGTGTTGTAAGGGGCACCAGAACCACAAAGACACACAGACCAACCTAGTCAACAGACCCTAACCCATGGATCTGAGCTTTGCTGATTCAAATGCATTATAATAACCAAAAGTAGAAACAGAAGGGATCAGTCAGTTAAGCACTCTATAATACAATGTTTATATAATGATATAAAGCCAATAAACTTTATATATACGAAAAAGATTTATAAGAACGTGGAAACTGTTTAAGACATGTTACACGACAAAGCATAACTGAAGACTATTTCAGGCTTGAATGTACCTCTGAAAAAGAAAGATTAGGAAAAATCTTTAATGAGAACAACCAACAAATTAAGAGTTGCCTTTCTGTAGTAAGACTTCAATGATTTGATTTATCTATCATTCATCCATTCTTTTAAAGAACCTTTCTGAATTCCCCCTCATTTCCCCATGAGCATGTATTTCATTTAGAGTGGAATCTACCACTGTAGACATGTGGACTTGAGCTCTAACAAGTTTCAGCACAGTGGCAATACTCACCAGGGCTGACACCAGCAGGTGGGTCAGAAGAACTGCAAAAAGGGGGTACCACTTTTTCTTCTCACAGCCATCAAAAAATACAATGCCCCAGAACATGTGTAGCAATATGATCACCAGCGTCATGAAAGCTGAAAGACAGGCATCCATTAGTGCCCAGTCATTCGAACAGCAAACACCAAAGCCCAATGACCACCTGGGCATGGAACACAGGCTCTGGGGGTGCCACACCACTGAAAGCGCTGAACTGCCACCTGACAGCAGGACCGTGACACCCCCCCCCCCC